TAACTTCGCAGTTGCTATTAGTTGTTGCAGCGTAAAATGATATTGATAAGAAATGCATCTATATATTCATCTCAACTCTTTATTTCTTTATTTTTTATATGTTTTGGAAAATAACATAAAATTAAGTTTAATTTTAATTTATATACTCGTAGTAATTAATACTGTTTTTTACATACACATGCACGCGCACACACATTTTTTGTATTTTTAGTAAGAATATTCTAAATGCACTTTTTCACTACTCCGTAGTTTTTAAACAATATTACAAAATAGAAACAATATTGATAGTGATATTTATTATTATTGCTATTATATATTTGTATTGGTCAGTCATACTACGTAATTAAGAATTTTTAATTTTAATTTAATTATTATTTTTATTTTAAATAGTTATTAGACAATTATTTAATGAGGTGGAATCGATGGGTATATTAGAATTTCAAACATAAAAACAAAAAATCGTTTTGAAAAAGTTACTCAAACCCGCTTTTAGTTTTAGGGCATGTTTGGCACAACTAGCTGAAAAGATACTTTTGTGAGCTTTTTAATAGCTGTTAGCTTTTAGTGACTGAAAAGATCTTAAAAATAAAAGGTGATAGCTGTTTGATGAAAAGCTGACTGTTTGATTTAGTTCGGTTTGGTATACAAGCTGTTAGGATTAATTAATACTAAAAGTCACTAGCTTTTCTTAGATGCTACTCTCGGTAGCATCTCAAAAAAGATCTTTTAATTTTTGAAAAGCTCTTAAATATTGTCATGTCAAACACACAACTAGAAGCTTTTAGGAACTTTTTGAACAGTACAAAAGCTAGAAGTCAGGGACTTATGCCCGCCAAACATAGACTTAGTTTTTACTAAATAGTCAAATGAAAAAGTTGTTTACTACACTAAAATAGCTGTTTGGCAAAGTCAATTCAAAAATATAAAGAATGATGGATATATAAGTATTTACCAAACACCTCCAACATGTTTTCATGTTTTCATATTAATATAATTAATTATAATAAGCTTATACTACCTCCGTCACAAAAAACTTTGCCATTTTCAAAACTCTGACCGGCTATATCTTTTTATTCAGAATGATTTATAATATATAAGTTATATGAAAATGTTCTTTGTTAAAAGTACTTTCATAAAGATATAAAATTTATAACTTATGAGCTCTTCTCATCAGGCCGGCCTGACGAGCTGCCCCGTCCGGCCGAGCCCGTTTGGGCACCTTCCCGGTGGAATTTTTTTATGAAATTTTTTGAGCATGTTCCTCATCAAGTCTAGTTTGTCCATACCAAATTTCAGCTCAAAATTCAATCGGGAAGGTCGTCAAATGATTTTTGCAAGTTAACTGGTCCGGAAAATACATATTCCGGACCAGTTAACTTGCAAAAATCATTTGATGACCTTCCCGATCGAATTTTGAGCTGAAATTTGGTATGGACAAACTAGACTTGATGAGGAACATGCTCAAAAAATTTCATCAAAAAATTCCACCGGGAAGGTGCCCAAACGGGCTCGGCCGGACGGGGCAGCCCGTCAGGCCGGCCTGACATGAACATTCCTCTATAATATTATACTAATCAAATTAAAGTTCAAAATTTGGAAAATGACAAAGTTTTTTGGGACGGAGGTAGTATTAACGTAACTCGGTAGACAAGTTTGTTTTTGTTGATCAAAATGTATATGTAGAATTTTGAGAATTTACCCAAAATAGGACTAAAAAGGTTTGGAAATTCCAAAATAGGACTGACATGTTTTTATTTCCAAAATAGGACTAATTACTGCCATGATTTGGCAGTACCAGATTTCAAACATGACAGTATTTTCCAAACTTGACAGTAATTACTCCTATTTTGGGAATAAAAAACATGACAGTCCTATTTTGGAATTTTCAAACCGTTTTAGTCCTATTTCGGGAACTTTCCCTAGATTTTTTTTTGAATAAGCGAGGGAGTGCCACAAGGGTCGGGTGCCAGGTTCGAATCCCGACAACTGCGATGAGAGGTTATTATGCTAAAAATGCATAGGACCTTTGCAAGTACAGAGGACGAAACCCCACTCTCTATCTGTCAGATTGTGATTATAGTTCAATTTACATTCTCCCATCATGTCGTCCGATCGGTGTTGGGAGCTCTCAAGGATGGGGTGATTTTACACACAACAAACAATAAGTCACAAGGCACTGTGACTTGGGAATGATACAAGTACAATAATTCTGCACCTTAGAGCCTACGACCCATAGCTAACTAAACTGCCCGTCTCAATAGGGACAAAAGGCTCTCAAATAAAGGGAAAAAAAAATAAGCCCCACATAAAATTGCTAGGATTGAACTTCTGACCTTAGTTGACATCCATTTACCACTGTTTTCTTGTCGCCCATAGATGCACTTTAAAAAGCTGTACTATATCACTTTCACGAACATTTTCCTTGGTCGCAAACTCACAAAGAACCGTGAGATAAAGATTATTTCACTAGAATTAATTAGGGACAGTTTCTAATTTAGACTTTAAGACCTTTTTAGATAAAATTATACTTTAGCGAGCACCGATTTCAGTCTGATAGGTTTATTTGGTCAAAAAGCTCCTAATCTTAATAGTTTGTAGATTACGGCCTGTTTGGCACACAAAAGCCTCTGCCTTCTAGCTTCTTTTTTCTTTAAAAGACCTTAAAAGACTCTAGTTGTATGTTTGGCATGACATTTTTTAAGAGCTTTTCAAAAATTAAAAGATCTTTTTTGAGATGCTACCGGGTGTAGCATCTGAGAAAAGCTCGTGACTTTTAGTATTAATTAGTCCTAACAGCTTGTATACCAAACCGAACTAAATCAAACAGTGAGCTTTTTACCAAACAGCTATCACCTTTTCTTTTTAAGATCTTTTGAGTCACTAAAAGCTAACAGTTACTAAAAAGCTCACAAAAGTATCTTTTCAGCTAGTTGTGCCAAACATACCCTTCGATTATTTTCGATTGCTTTTTTTTTTTTCTCTCGATCAACTTATTTTGTAATCTCTACTTGTAAAAGCTGGTGCACCCAAATACTCATTCATTCACATACAAAAGATAATCATTTTGTAGCACAGAAATATTCATTTCATCATTCCTATGTGCTATACAAATGATATATCTATATGTATAGTATACAACCTTCAACACACTAAAATTTAGACCAATTTTCATATTCGGTTGTGCCAAAACATTACAACTGCGAGGCCATTTGGAGCCTGGAAGATGGGCTGATAAGTCTTAAAATGTAGAGCCCGTTTGGTAGCACGAAAATCGGTTGATTTGATTGATTCTGCTGAAATTTATGAAGTTCTGGCTGAAGTGGCTGCATTGGTTGATTGAAAAAATTATTTTTAAAATATATTTTATTAATAAAATAAATAAAAAAATTACATGTAAAAATAACTAAAATGGTCATCTACAGTAACTTCAGCCAATACAACCAGAAAAGTAACTCCAACCTTACTTTTTCTGCTTATTACACAATTTAGCGCGCGAAAGCAAAAATTACGTGTTTGGTGAAAAAGTTGGCTGATAAGCCTGATAAGCCGATAAACAGTGGTTCCAAACGGCCTCGTAAAAATAGAGCCAAACGCATGTAAATTGGGCTGTTTGGGCTGATTTTCTTTATCAGCTATTTTGAGCTGAAATGTATTTATCTACTATTGAAAAAAAAAACTCTGCCCTTCTACTATACCCGTAATACATCTTAACCGCAACAATAGACTGTTTGTATATAGTATAACTAGGTAGTTGTTAAATGGCTGTAAATTAAACAGAGAATATGTAGTTGTTCGCATATCACAGTTGTTTGTATCTACTACGTAGTATATATAGCTTTATACGACGCAACTTAAATTACCTTTATGTTTCATTTTATTTTAATTTAAATATGCATGTGAGCTTGTAAATATACTTTATAGAAAGTATATTTTTTTAAATTAATTTACTCATACTAGTCACAAAAATTAATACTAATGTCGCTCATCGAAAATACGGCGTTTTTTGAAAAGTAATTGTATAAAACAATATAAAATTCGACATAAGAGTAAGAATGAAATTTCCAAAGTAATCAATTAATTAAGTAGTCTTATAATTACCTAATCAAACAAAAATAGATCACTAGTAAAGTTCACACCATATATTTAACACAAATAACCAAATACCCTTATTGGAATTTTACATTTAATCTGTCATTTCAGTTAACATATTATCAAACTCTTTCACTTTAACAGATTCAGCATTTTCAGGCTTTTCAGCTCCTCCAGCCCTTCTAGCCCTTCCAACTGTTACCAAACAGGCCCTGCAACTAACAACATTGATAATTTATTTGAAAGTATCAAGTGTTACATATTATGTGTTTTCTAAAGACTTGTTTGTATGTTGAAACATACTTAGAAGCTAAGGTACTTAAGGTTATTCCTAGATTTAAGGCTTGCCTCCGTTTTGAAAGAATAGTATTGATATATTATTAAATTGTAGAAAATTGATACAATAGAAATATTATCCAACGCTATGAAACTTTTCTACAATGTCACTCTTTTATTTTCATGTTTATCAAATAGCTAGTACTCCGTAACATATTTTTTTAGATGATGTGAAACTTGCAGCGCATTTAAAGATTTTGAAAATGAAATATGTCCACCATTTTTGAGAACCTACGGAAAACTATTATTACTGTATTATTACTGTATTTCATTAAGTAGTTAAACTATTAATCTTTTGATCCCTTCGATTATAAAACTCCCTCATTATGATACTCTGTCTCGAAACTCGAAAGTAAATGCTCAACCTTCTGCATTATTACTGTATTTCATAAAGCCATTAGCCATAAAGGGTGAGTGGATGACCGAGGAGCATGGCTATGTTGGGTACTTGGGTACGGCCCTTGTAGTTATTGCGGCTAGTTTATTTTACGAAAAGACACAATTATTTTGAAATTGTAAGAGGAAAGTGTTAAAAGTTATAACTATTAAACAACTGAGAAAATACTACTCTGTAATAATGTAAAATACTCTACTCGCATTTGATATTTGTAATCTCTTTAAATCTTTCAATAAAATTTAAGCACTTGAATAATTTATATGAATGTTAGCAGTTTATTCCCCATTGATATCATGCCTGGAATCAGACCAGACACTAGCTAACTCGATACCAGTACATCAAATGGGAAACCGGTCGATCCAGAATCAAAATCAGTCCACCCCTACCCACTTCATCCACCGGCTGATTGTTTTCCACTTTGCCAAAATCAGTCACCACACGCCTAGCTTAATCTGTAGAACAGTGCTATAACAATGGCAAGTGAGACGATATTAATCTGATTATATGAACATGCATGCATCCACAGTTGGCAATTGCAGCAAATATTTAGCAAATCGGGAAATATTAAAATGACTGCACAAGGATATTATGATGTAATTTGCTCAAACTTTTAGTTAACTTTGGCCATCACTCAATTCCCAACCGAGGGATTTGTCAATAACTCAAGAGATTTTTTCAGGTAATCGACAGCAACAGAAACATCATCGAATGCTAAAGCTCCCACTGCAAACCTTGCAGCCTTGTGTGCTTCTGAAATTTTCTCAGGTGAAGGCTCGTAGTTGCTATCGTACTGATATGCCTTGGTCACAATACGTGGTGCAGCTTCTGTGGTTGGCCCATTTTTGTCACTTAGAGTGTAAGGAGAGGTTGATTGGCGGGTCGCTGCATTAGAAGGTGGCAACGGCACCAAATGGGAAGAAGCATCGGCGCCTTGGTAGTAAGATGGATAATGAGAAGGGACAGAAGGAAGGCTAGTCTCTGCAAAACTAGGGTAAGATTGGAAGTTGGGATATGAGAAGGAGGAACCATCATGTGGAGGAGGATGATAGTGTTGTTGAGGCAAAGTTGTCTGGTGAGTCTCTTGCATGTAAGGTTGATGATTGTAGGACGGAGAATAACTAGGGTTCTCAGGATTGTGATTTGAAGGAGTTTGTTGGAAATTATGAGATTGATAGTCATTTTCAGTTTTGTTACTCGGAGAAGGATGCTGTTGGAAATTATGAGATCGATAGTCGTCCGTTGGATATGAAGGAGGTGAAGGAACATGGGGTGAAGGTGGTTGAGGCATTGTTTCTGGATGAGACTGCATATTAGAGTAATGCTGTGAATTATGATCAACATGATGAGGGGATGAGTTGAATTCGGTTGAAGGTTTGGCCAACATATCACTCCTGTGAAATTCAACATCCTGCAAACATCATATAGTTAAATAAGTTGAATTCATGTCAGGATAATACTGACTTTGTGAAGAACTAACTCAATAAAGCGTCAAGTATACTTACATATTCACCTGAGGGAGAATTTGACATGTCCAGTGAATCTCTCTCACCACCAGGAGGTCCTGGAACAGGCTTCCTTCCTTCTTTCAAAGCTTTTCTAATGTCTGCAGCCTTCCATGCTGCATACTTTTGTCTCTGTTCAAGCTGGAGAGAGAGAGAGAGAGAGAGAGAGATCAATGACATTGGGATGGCATACTAAGAGCCCTTTTGGAATTCGGAAAATGCTAGGAAAAGAAGGTAGAGAGGAAATTTGGAAGGAAAGAAAATAAAGCATTGGTCCAAGTCAAATAATTAATGTTTGAAACGTTAATCATATTACATATTCTTTGACATTTCCCGAGTTAAAATCAAACCATAAAAATATCTTAGCATTTTTCTAAACTAACCCTAGCCCCTAGGAGTGGGGGAGAATCAGAAAAACTAACACGGCCTGCCAGGAAAATGTCCGGAGTAACTTGGTTATAGTCTCAAGAGGACTAACTGAAGCAGCTCAGACAATCTACTCCTTTTTTGTCATTATAAGTGGTCATCATTGACTAACCAAAATAGTTATATATCCACAATCTTAATTTTGGCCATTTTCCAAGACAAACTCATAAGATGATAAGAGGGACCAAAAGAACACCAAAAAGAGGAGCATAAACTCACATCAGGTTGAAGTTCACCAAATTGATTTAGAATCTCAAAGAATATACTTGCAGCATAAAAAGTCTTTGCAGTATTCCTGTAAAATCCCAAAAGCAATGCAGAACAAATGAAGATTAGGCCTCTGAGAGATCACAGAAGAACATTTTCTGAACATCGTATTATAATAGAGAACCAATTAAAACTATGTAACAGGTTGCATCTCCCATAAAAATATAAGAACCATATACTGGACCAAGGAATGATAAACATAGACATCTCAATGATAGTAGTTTATCTGCATAACATTATTTAGAAATAGTACATCAACTATTAGAAATTTTATCATAGATAATGAAAACGACAAGCAAGAGAAAAACATATATTACAAGTCAGCACGTCCAGCCCGATCTTGTTTGTCTGCCTTTGAGAAAACACTTGAAGCGAATCCCTCCACATGTAAATGGTCATCAGGACCTAATTGCAGTGACTTCTTATCCTATACAAAGAAAGGAAACAAGAATCACAGGCATACACACATAACAGTGAATGAATTTTAGGCAACCTGTACTTTAACTTCACACATAGACTTAAGAATATAAGTTCTAAATTGCAATGACCTGCAATATATACATTGTTTAAAAACCAATGTGAGGTGTCCTTCGATTTCAATTTTCAAGTAATAGAAAATCCCCTGATGCTTGAATAATGATGCAGATTAGAGAAGGTTATACCTCAGTTGGTTAAGGTGTTGAAGGAAAAAACAACTTAGGGCTTCTTGAGTCATAAGCCTAATAAGTACAAGGTGTGCTGAACTTCCAGGTCCATATTTCGACTTATTCTAGGATTTAAATCCTGTTAATGCCCCATATTGGTTTGAATATTTTAACTCATTAGAACAGCTGAAGACCATAAGCCCCCATAAAATCTGATGTAATTTAACTAGTTCACAAGCAGCCTCTCTCTCGAGTTGTTCCAGTCTAGAATTTCCTAAACTAAAGTACTTCACACTTTGTCTTGTTCATACAGTGTGATTAATTCACACTTTGTCTTGTTCATACAGTATGATTACTCCTGTCCATGCCAGATCAGGGTTAAAGCCTCAACACTTGATTTTTTCAAAGTCTTACGTGATTAAGCCAAAATGCTACTTCTACCTCCATCTCAATGATATGGTACCAAGCACTTATTTTTTTAAAGCATCTATTTCTATTCACTCGATTTGGTAAGCTGTTAGTTCAGAAAAAACCTTTTTGTCATGGTCCTCACTCATTTTAAACCGTTTTAGGAAACAAGAAAATATAAGTGGTGACGGAAAATATAAGTGGTGACGTCCCAAAATGGAATGCGAAATTATCTTTAGGTCGGGAAGGGAAGGAGAATATACTTTTATTGAAATAAGAATCTGCTGCTAATACTTCTACCAAGAGTCCTTGGTCAGCAAGTAAAGTACCACACTAATCCAACTATCGATATTAGGACATAACTAAAATAGGATACCAACATTAATGCGAATAGGAAACTATTACCCCCTCAACCCCAAACAGAGTCTTGTTCAAATATTTTTTGAATAAGTAGTCCAATTTGACCAAACAAAGCTTATTTTTCAAGTAATTTGACAAACAAATTACAGCATAAGAGTCATGAATAGTTACATATCACAAATTTAGTTAAACCAACAAAGAAAGTGAGAAAAGTATAAGCAATATTATTAGAAAGTAGCCAGAGTATAGAAAGAAGTAGAAGAATCTCATTAATCACATAATACCAGTACATCAGTATTTATAGAGAAGTTGTATAACAAACTTGTAACTGAATCTAAACAGTTTGACTAACTGTAACAGGCTAACTAAATGCTAGGCTTATTACATTATTCGTAGATATAGTATCTCTAACATTCCCCCCACAAAATTAGGGTGATTGGTGTGGAACATCAGTCACACTAAGTTTGGTTTTGAGCTCAAGGAAAGATGAGGCAGTCAATGGCTTTGTAAGGATATCAGCAATTTGATAGGGGGCTGGAATGTGGTATACTTCTAGCTGTTTAGACTGAACTTGTTCCCTGACAAAGAATAAGTCAATCTCCATGTGTTTGATGCGAGAATGATGTACTGGATTATGTGCAAGTTGTACTGTGCTAAGGTTGTCACAGTAAACTTTGGGAATAGTGAAAGGAACTTGAAGTTCCTTAAGCAGAGACTGGATCCATAAAAGTTCAGCAACTGTGTCAGCCAAGCTTCTATACTCAGCTTCTGCTGAAGACCTTGCAACCCTCACTTGCTTCTTTGACCACCAGGAAATAATGTTTGGACCAAGGAAAATGCAGGATCCAGAAGTGGACCTTCTATCAACATGATCAGATGCCCAATCAGCATCACAAAAGGCTGAGATTGGCAAAGGAATAGTAGCAAGGGGCAAGGGTTTGATAATAATACCATGGGTTATGGTACCAGAGAGATATCTGAGAATGTGTTTGACAGCTTGCCAATGATCCTGTAGAGGTGTGGCCATGAATTGACAAACTTTATTAACTGCAAAGCTAATTTCTGGCCGTGTGAGAGTTGCATACTGTAAAGCCCCAACAATTGATCTGTAGGTAGAAGGGTCAGGTAGAGGAGTGCTACCTATGTTGGTGAGTTTGCAGTTACTAACCATAGGAGTTTTGACTCCTTTGGATTCAAGCATTCCAGCTTTATGTAGAAGATCTCTGATGTATTTGGTTTGAGACAAATGTAAGCTCCCATTACTTTGTCTCCTGACTTCAATACCCAGAAAGAAGTCAATATCCCCCAAGTGTTTCAAAGAAAAGGATGAATGGAGCTTATGAATGAGTTGTTGAATAGCAGTGTGATTATTCCCAATGACCAATATATCATCTACATAGATTAGAATGTAGATTTGAACTCCAGAATGTAGAAAGGTAAGTAGAGAGGGATCACTTTTACTTTGCTTAAATCCAGCAGCATAGAGAACAGAAGTTAGCTTTTGAAACCAAGCTCTGGGGGCCTGTTTAAGTCCATATAGTGACTTATGCAGTTTGCAAACAAGAGAGTTATCCTTGACTTCAAAGCCTGGAGGTTGAACCATATAGACTTCCTCCTCTAGATTGCCATTTAAAAAGGCATTGTTCACATCAAGCTGTTGAATTGACCATTTGTGAGAGATGGCTAGAGTGAGCAAGATTCTGATTGTAATGGGTTTTACAACAGGGGAAAAGGTTTCTCCAAAATCAAATCCAAATCTTTGATGAAATCCTTTGGCTACTAGTCTAGCTTTGAATTTGTTTAGAGAACCATCAGCATTTTCTTTGACCCTAAAAACCCATTTACATCCAACAGCTTGTTTGTTTGGTGGCAGGGGAACAAGTGACCATGTATGGTTTGCTATCAGTGCATCATATTCAGCCTGCATAGCAGAAAACCATTGTGGAGAGGATAAAGCTTGTTTAACTGATTTAGGCTCAGTATGAGCTAACAGTAAGGTGGGATTCAATCTAGGTTTAACAATTCCTGACTTTGCCCTAGTTTGCATAGGATGAGTGTTAGTTGGGATAGGAGAAGAAGATGAAGAAGATGCAGTTGTAGGAGAAATATGGTGTGGAGACTGGGTTGAGTTATGTGGAGACTGGGTTGTGTTATTTGGAGACTGGTGTGGAGACATATGGATTTGTTCAGAGTTAGAATCCTGAAAGTTGGAAGGAGATGTATGGGACAGACTTTGACTTTGAGAAGCTAGTAGATTGGGGTTCAGTGATCTGAGAAGAAGAGACATTAGAGAAAGAAGAAGGATGAAGCACAGTTAAGGGGGCAGAGAGTGAAGATTGAGATGACTTGGAATCAGTAGAGGTGGACGGGAAAAGAATAGAGTAAGGAAATCTTGCCTCATGAAAGATAACATCCTTAGAGATGTAGATTTTGCCAGAAGAGGAGAGGCATTTATAGCCTTTGTGCTGAGGTGAGTAACCTATAAAGATGCATTCTTCTGAATGAAAGGCCATTTTATGTTTGTTGTAGGGTCTAATGAATGGGTAGCAAGAACAACCAAACACTTTTAGGAGAGAGTAATCTGGATTGGTTCCATGGAGTTGGAAATATGGACTGGAGTTGGCAATGGAAGTGGATGGAGTTCTATTAATAAGATAAACTGAGGTGGAGAAGGCAGCATCCCAGAATTTTAGAGGTAATGAAGAATGAGCAAGAATGGAAAGGCCTTTCTCAACTATAGTCCTGTGTTTTCTTTCCACAACACCATTCTGGTGATGTGTATGTGGACAGATAAGCCTATGTGTTATTCCATTCTCAGCAAGAAAGTTGGTAAAGGATCTGAACTCACCTCCCCAGTCAGACTGAACAGATTTGATGGATTTGGAAAATTGAGTTTGAACATATTTATGGAAGTTCTGAAAGGCTGTTAGGGCATCAGATTTCTTCTTTAGAAAATATATCCAAGTATATCGGGTACAGGCATCAATGAAGGAGATGTAATATGAATATCCATCATATGATAACATGGGGGCTGGTCCCCATAAGTCAGTAAAGATAAGATCAAATGGGGACTTATAGACAGTATGAGATGAGTGTGAAGGCAGTCTGTGAGCCTTACCAAGACAACAAGAAGAACAAAATGAAACATCACTTTTATTTATGGTAGGTACATTACAAGTATTGAGTACAGATTTCAATGCTTCAAAATGTGGATGACCTAATCTTAGGTGCCAAACATTACAAGAAACTGAGGCATTATTACAAGAAGTAGACTTATTATAAGTGGAAACAAAAGAAAGGGGATACAAAGGGGTGTTTGTTTTGGACACTATTGAGGTAGACAGACTTGCATCTTTGAATTGATGTAAACCAAGAGGAGGTATGGACTGGAACTTGTATAGACCATCAGCACCAAGAACTCCATGTAGAAGGACCTGTTTAGAAGCCTGGGATTTGACATAACAATCATAAGGATAGAATTCAAAGAAAACATTGTTGTCTTTAGCAAATTTACTAACACTCATGAGATTTTTGGTTATAGAGGGGACATGAAGCATATTAGTTAACATAAGAGACTGAGACTTAGAATAGGGAGATAGAAAGGAAGAAAAACCAATAGATTTGATATCCACACCTTGACCATTACCCATAAAGAGTTTGTCAGTTGAAACAAGAGGTTCACTGTGCTGAAAATTGAGTTGATCAGCAGTCACATGGTGAGTAGCACCTGAATCAGGGAACCATTGTTGAGTAGATGGAGGTGGTCCAAGAACAGAGTTTGTACTAGCAAAGGCTGCAGATGGTAGAGGTCTGGATGAGTGCTGATCCCAATTGAAATTCTCTTGACCTGTAAATTGGTGGTTAGGAAGATGCCCAGGAGCTGAAGAGCTGAAGTGCTGAGGTGTATGCTGTCTTGGAGTATAGTAGGGTGAATAGTTGAAATGAGATGGAGTGTATGGATTAGGTGCTTGTGAGTTCCAGTGACTTGAAGATCCATAATTAGAATTGGTGTAAATTGGATTAGGGTTTGGATAGGTAAAATTGGGATTGTAGCGATGATGACAAATTAGGGCATGATGTCCAGACTTTCCACACACCTGACATATTACTGAGCTTCGATTTCCAAAACGACCACCTCTACCTCTGTTTGGGCCTCCACGACCTCTTCCTCTATACAGATTCGACTGATTAGGGTTATGAAATTGTACTATATTTGCAGAAGAAGATTCGGTTGCTGTGACAGTTTCTGAATTGGAGGTTTGAGATGTGTTTTCAGTATGAGCAATATTAGCAGAAAAGATAGCAGGAGTAGTTGCTTCACGATGCTTTTTCAGACGCATTTCTTTGAGTAAAAGCAGAGGTTCAAGTTCTGTAACAGTTATTGGATCAAGGAGGCTTCGAGAGGATACAAATGATACAATAGATTCATATTCTTCTGGAAGTCCCTCAAGAATAACATTCACATGTTATTTAGTAGAAATTGGCTCACCAATCAAACTCAGATTATCAACCGTTGTTTGAATCCGAAGAAGATATTCTTCAATCGAGCGATCTCCTTTACCAGTATTGTAGAGCTCGGATTTGAGCTGGCGTGCTTTCGCAGTGAGATTGGATTGAAAAAACTTCCGAATCGTACTCCAAAGCTCGTGCGAACGTTGACAATGAATTACGCGAGCATGAAGTGGTTCCGATAGAGAGGAAAGAAGCCATGAGAATAGCATCTGATCCTGCTGTTCCCAAACAGCATATTCATCGTTGATTATCTTGGTTCCGTCTTCGCCATTGATGAACTGAGCTGGAATCTTCGGATTTTCTACAAATTGCAACAATTTGTGTGCTCGAATGATGGATTCGATATGATGCTTCCAAAGAAGAAAATTGTTTGAATCAAGTTTGATTGGTAGAGGATGCGTAAACACAGACGGAAACGTGATATTTCCAGCTGTGGAAGAAGAAGATGTTGTAGGGTTGCAAGGTCTTCAGCAGAAGCTGAGTATAGAAGCTTGGCTGACACAGTTGCTGAACTTTTATGGATCCAGTCTCTGCTTAAGGAACTTCAAGTTCCTTTCACTATTCCCAAAGTTTACTGTGACAACCTTAGCACAGTACAACTTGCACATAATCCAGTACATCATTCTCGCATCAAACACATGGAGATTGAATTCGTCATGGTAGATCGAGCTCAGAGCTCTGATACCATATTAGAAAGTAGCCAGAGTATAGAAAGAAGTAGAAGAATCTCATTAATCACATAATACCAGTACATCAGTATTTATAGAGAAGTTGTATAACAAACTTGTAACTGAATCTAAACAGTTTGACTAACTGTAACAGGCTAACTAAATGCTAGGCTTATTACATTATTCGTAGATATAGTATCTCTAACAAATATTAATGAGAATAATATTTTATTAAAAATAAAAAGCTGTAAATTAGTGATCCATAACTCTTCTCTATTTAGGATGGAGGCAGTGCTACACTACTCTACTACTAAAACAACAAAACTAGTCAAACTGCTGATATTAGGAACATAATTAATTAACAAAAATAGACACCAATACTAATACGAATAGGAAAGCATCTGTAAAAACTAAAAGCAGGAAACTACCACCATAGAGAACTATGCAAAACACTCTCAGACAGCCTATCGACCAGATCATTACTTCCCACACCAACAGTGAGCTTGTACTCAAACCGCATCGGGCCATAAACAAAACAAAATAGTAACAACTTATGAAGCGGGGGCATGGATGGCCATATGGGGTGGGAGAGAGGAAGGGGAGAGGGGGAGAGAGAGAGAGAGAGAGAGAGAGAGAGAGAGAGAGGGAGAGCAAAAGAAAGAAAGGAGGGAGGAGGAGAGGGAGATGGAGGGAGAAAGGAGGACAAAATCTCTGACTTTGAAGCATTGAAATCGTCAAAGCGTGAGGCAGGAAGAGGAGGCAACTGGAAGATTGGTGTGATTTGTAATTATATGATTATATATAGGATTTTTTTTAAAAACACTTTCGTCGTATAACATTTAGCTTTTTAGAGATCTTCCCAACATACATACCTTAGCACTTAACAAGTGTCTGGGATATCAAAGAGAACGGAAAAGAAGACGAATAAACCCCTAAGCTAGGATTAGTCGTTGTCTGACCTTGTCAAGACACGCAAGAATTAATTCTTCAAAGGTTGTTTAATAATCAATATTGTAGACACTTATACAGCTATTACAAGATCCATACTCATACTATGACAGGGTATGTTCTGCCGAAGATTTACCTAAGCAATAATAACACTACATGTTCAAACTCAATTATATTTCAAAGTTAATAAAACATCAAGCAGTTCAACAAACAGCTGCAAACCCATGAAGCAGAGAGTCAGCCATGAATGAGACGTTACCCCACCCCTTTGGGGGAAGGAATACCCTGTCTTGAGCTTGCCAAGACACAGCTCGCGGGAGAACTCATAAAAAAGAATAAAAGAATAACCAAAAGCACTTACTAAAGGCCCAATGTGCCTGTGGTTAAGGTTTTCGAACTATATTTTTGACATTACATTTTCAATGATCCACTGTGTACATGTTTGTCAAGGATTATGAATTGCACAATACTTTTTAGCTTATTTGGAAAATAGATTCATAGTATCATGGAGTTGGTGGTTGAATGTTAATTTGATGTGAGTAAAACTCCATAATCATCAAATTTGACTCAATTGAACAACAACGCATGCTAATATTAGAAACACTCTCATTGACAACAAACATCCACATGCTCAGATTAATAGTGAAAGAAAACTAAAATGCTAAACTTCATGCTTGACTAAAATTGGTAAGACTTCACATTATGAAGAAAATAGATACACAGCATAAATACAGAACACAAGGAAAAGACCTTTTCGAGCTGATTTATTAGAGAGACAAGCAGGGAATTGGTGGTCTTTGTACGCTCGCTCTGGGGAATTCTCAATCCCCGCTCCATTGCATACAGCCGACCTGCGAAAAAATGCATCAATCACACCATATAACTACAAATATAATAAAATTCAAATACACACGATGAACTTTATGGAGGTCCAACAGGAGTTTAGGGTTTATGAAGATTAGGAGAGGAACGTACAGTAGTAAGCAACGAGCGGTTCGTGTTTCTGCAACTCATCCGCTCTTTGGAGGTAAGGCAGGAGCAATTTGGCCGGCTCGTTCTCTTTCGCCATCCTCACTCTTTGTTTTGTGATCCTTTCTCCTCAACGGATTGTGTGAAAATACCAAACTGCGTACTATGAGTAACTCCACTCTTTTGAATAATTTCTGTATGGTGGAGCAAAGAGTACACAAATTGAGTATATCTTAATTGAGTACATCTGTTAATACAACTGAGTTGATTAACAGAATATTGAATAAGAAGGGATAATGGACCAAGGTTATGATGCTGACTTTCACGAAGTAGACCAAAAAGGGAAAATCGACTTCGGAGGTCGACCTGCTGGGGGCGTCGGCCAGCAGAGGTGCATCGATCAAGGAAAAGTCGACTTGTGGGGGACTGGCTCGACCTTCAAGAAGTCGACCTATTAACGTTCTGTTAGCCAACTCAACCGTATTAACGTGTTAATTTAACGGGTGTACTCAATTAACACTAAAACCCCGAATTTTTGTACTTAAAAAGAACAAATGCAATATTGTGTATATTAATAATTGTATTTATTAATATATTAGAAATGTAAATGTTTGAAAAATATTATTAAATATCCCTCAATTAAAGTTTTTAAAATTTGATTTTTTAATACTTTTACTATTTAAGAATTAGATATAATAATAGTGAGAATTGTACCAAATGAAAGTGTTGCAATGAAGAAGTCTAAGCAAAATTACCAAACTGATAAAAGGTTTTATTAAACTGAATATTATTGAATTTGAAATTATGGTTTGGAACTTTGGATAGAATTATACAAAAGAGATTGATAAATAATGTAGGTAAGTTTAACATTTTTTCCGAAAATCCAAAGGATTGAAGTATTGATAATGTTGAGGTTTATTCCTTCAATCCGGGGGTCCAACACGTAACTCAAGGATTTTGAGAGGAAAAGGCATGCAAGTAAGAAGTGCAAGCAAGTAAGATGAGCTAAAATATATTTGTAGCAGCGGGCTGTATCTTATTAATGATAATAAAGGTTCGTATACAACACGCAAATGCAGAAATGGTACCTGGCCCGAGGCCGATTGTCTTTCTCGCTGAGGAAGAGTTGAGAATGCTGCTATAAACTAGAGAGAATGCTAGAACGCTAGGACGAATAAGTTGTCAACCCTTTACAATAAAATAAATGTTACTATTTATACTACCAAGGAGTAGATAGATGCGCTGACATGGAGGGCTGTTAATGGCTATGATCCCAACCACCAAATCTTCAGCATTAAATGTGCTTCCCACCAGAATCTTGGTTTCCTGCCAAGGTTTGGGGATGAGCGTCCCCCTGAATCTTGGGCCTTCTCCTGGCATTGGGACAAGGGGCAAAGGCCGAGCGTCCCTACGTGCCACCCGACTATGGGTGCAGGAGCACACTGGGTAGCCTTGATGGTTAAGGCTTCTGAGGCCGTTCGTCTGGTGCATGGGACGTACATTGGGGGTGCCTTAGGTTATTGTGGATAACCTCCCCCTGGTGGGCATTGGAGCGTGAAGACGAGCGTATGGCGCTCCTTTCCTGTTGGGCCATGAAACCTCTTATCTGAGGGGATAATGGGCTGATGACCCCTGGTTGGGCCATTAACCCAATAGATAAGTAAGAAACTTAAACAGGCGTTTTTCAGTGATGAAACAATGGTTTTTCACTTTCTTAAATTGGGGTAAAAGTTTAAAAGTGAAGCTTTCAAACATTTTTTTCTCCTTCTTGAATTAAAATAAGTTGAAAATAATGATTATAAGCATATTTTTCTATACAAAAGTTATTACTTTAAAGCTAAACATTAAGCACGATATCTATATCTATATAATATAATAAAGCAATCCCTTGAAGAGCTCTTTGGAGGAACTCTTGACACGTGGCAACATCTTTTGTGTGAAAAAATGACAGATGGCAACACAATAAATTAAAAAAAAAACTATTCAACTTCCAAAACTCTACTGTTATGTATTCCAATGTTATATATATGTATTTATATTTTTAGATGTGTATATATAAATATAAATAATAAGTATATTTGAAAATAATTTTGGTAGTAAAATATAAATAAATGTTTATATTTAAATGGACAGAAAAGGTTGAATTTATTTAAAAATGTCGTCACTGCTTTTTTTAATTTCTGGTAACACATATTTCTACGTCACATAATGCACAATTTTCAAATCTAACGTTCCGGGTCAAGGTTTCGGTTCATTCATTCTCTTCATAGATTGCATTCTCATTTGATCACCCAAATTATATACGATAGTATATAAGAAACTAAAATACTAAGCACACAATACTTGATAATTTTAATTTAAAATATTATTAAATCATTGTTATACAAACATTTGATAACTGTTAAATTGTATTACCTCCGTCTCACTAACATTGGGACATGAGATGGTGACACGATTATTAAGAATAATGAGTTTATGTAGTTGACATTGAAGTTATAAAGTAAGAATCATTTAAAACTACACAAACATTACCTAATTTTGTATGAGATAGTGTTAGAGGGACGTATCAAAAGGGAATGATAAGAAAATCTTAGCGGGACGAAGAGAGTATTTATCAAAAACACTCATTGTACAAAAACAAAGATGCAAATTACATCTTTTGAGTAAACATTTGTAAACAATGACTATTAATAGTTAAGAAATTATTTTCAACAATAACATAAAAAATATGTTAGAGTAATTTTTTATAGTAGTTTATTTGAATAATTATTATATATAGAAATAATAGTTTAACAAGGGTTGTAAAATAATAAGTATATTTGAAAATAAATATATTTGGTAGTGAACCATCAATATTGAAGACATAAAAAATTAAAAAAATAGATGTTTGTATTTTGGGTTACTCGCAATCTGCATTGATCAACTCACGTAACATGCAACCCGTGCAAGTTGACCCACGAAATTAGTGAGTTCATTCGGTAAAAAAACGACAACTCTTACCCACCGTGAAATGGGATAGCCCTAGGGACTTTAATTTGACTCATTTTGACAGCTCTATCCATAGTCATGTAAATTTTCTTTTAAACCCTGATTGATAAATTCACATACAATTCGTTTCTCTTATAATTTTAATAAAAACTTTAAGCACATATTTTTCCGTGCGGTGCACGGGTACACATATTAGTATATTTTAAACCGCTTCTCGCTCTTTAGTAACTTTAGTAGAGCAAAAATCTAATTGAGGCTAGGCTAATTCCACTCCTACTTTGGTGTGTGAGTGAAATTCAGTGTACCTCTAGAACATATAGTTTGTGTCAAAATTCAATAGGCAATAGTAGGGATGAACTCAGGTTGAGCCGAATCGAGCCCGGGCGGCACTGGTTCTAGAAAAGTGGAGTCCGGTACTAGTTCCAGTTAGGACCCTAACAGCTATTGGGCTTGGGCTGGCCCCGAAAATCAAGTCCGAAGCCCGCCCTTATAACCACTGGTTTGGGTACCAGGAGGTACCAATAGTATCGGTCCCGGATCGGGCCGTCCGGGCCCAGTCCATCCCTAGGCAATAGGAGACTTTGGTTCATTGGGACAAGCAAGCTTTTGTACTAATACTGAACATTTTATTATTTAGGGAGAACTATCAAATAAGCCCTCGAACTTACATAAAAAGTGCAAATCGCTCATTATGTAGGAGGCTCTGTCCGGCCGTCGCCATTTGGGGCGGTTCCCGGTGGAATGTTTTGATAAATTTTTTTGAGCATCTTATTCATTAAGTCTAGTTTACGCATACCACATTTTAGCTAAAAATTCAACCGGGAAGGCAGTCAAATGAATTTTTGAAGATAACTGCGCAGTTACACATCGCAATATATTTCAAAAAATCATTTGACTGCCTTCCCGGTTGAATTTTATCTGAAAATTGGTATGAGTAAACTAGACTTAATGAATAAGATGCTCAAAAAATTTCATCAAAAAATTCCATCGGGAACCGCCCAAATGACGATGGCCGGACTGAGCCTCCTATATAAGGGGTGATTTGCACTTTTTATGTAAGTTCGAGGACTTGTTTGGTAGTTCTCCCTTTTATTTATTTATTGATCATTTTGAAGTAAATGTATATTACACCCGTCTCAAATCATTTTGGAGAATCAATATTTTTTGGTAAATCAATGCTAAAGTTAAATCTTCTCAATTGATAATTAATTCAATTTTAATAATTAAAATTTAGATATACAAGAACTACATTAAAATCTCTATAAAGTTGCAAAATCCGAGTTAAAATTTAATTAAGAATTAATATCCTAATTAAGTGAATCAAATGAATCAGTTTGACCTAAAAAAAAGTCAACTTTACAACTCAATTTGGGATCGAGAGAGTAATTGTGTCGGTCTATAACCAATCATGTCATCAATATGATCCCAATTCCTAACTTATTAACATTTTTTAGTAACATGGTGCTTAATAAGCACTACTCTAAGAAAGTTTGCAACTACTTTTACTTTTGAAAAGTGATTGATTTTAGAGATTATTTGAAAATTAATCAATAGTAAAAGTTTTTGTTTTTGCAAATCTTTCTAACATATTATAGTATTTGTTCTGTTAATGTCAACATCCTTGAACTGAGATGTGATTCGAACCCGTGACCTCCTCTTTGGAAGTGTCACGGCGATGCTATCAGACCACGAGATACTTGACTAGTAAAAGTAGATAATGGTAGAAATGAAAAATTATTTTGAAAAATTAAAGAGTGTTTTGATTAAAAAGAAATTGTGAAAAAGAGTTAAAAGTAGTCAAAGCATCTCTTATACTTTCACCTTTTAAGGATGTTTTTACTTGGACGGTAATCTGTCTCATACCAAACCAGACCAGACTTGGATATTATAAAAGTACAAAGAGACCAAACATTATCAGACCAGACCAGTTCAGACCAGCAAATTACAGTCCAAGTAAAAACCTCTAAAGTGTAATTTACCGGTGGGCGTAGCTCAACTGGTAGTGAGGGAGTGCCACAAGGGTTAGGTCTCAGGTTCGAATCCCGGCAACTGTGATGAGGGGTTACTGTGCTGAAAAATGCATAGGGCTTCTGCAAGTACCGGAGACAAAGCCCCACTCTCTATCTATGATTATAGTCCAATTTACATCCTCCCATCGTGTCGTCCGGTCGGTGTTGGGG